CCTAGGAATGAGCATGGCTAGGGGCTGAATTATTTCCTGGCATTATCTGTCCACTTGGCCAACTACTAGGCGAGAACGCAAACTTTTGAAAAATCTGAGTGAGGGACTTTAAAGAAGCGCTTTGCTATTGTAACCAACTTATAGCAGGCTTTATAAAGAACATATTTTGAAAGTTTTAGCTCATTTGGATAAAATACTGATTTTATACAATTTTTTGAAAAGAGGTCAGTGCTTTCACAACAGAGTAAAATGTAATTCAAAATGGCCGACTTCCGGTGGGGTTTAGACCATGGGTCCAAGAGGCTTTTAGTTAGGGCCTGATGAGGTGCAAATGTGTTCAAAGTCTCAATATTCTAGGACTAAAAACGGCTTGGGGCTGGTGGTTTGAAGTTTGTTATTTCTAGGGGGCGCTGTAGTAAAAATTAAGCCCCGCCCACAAAGTATTGCTCTGGATTCCTGTTTGGAGTTGGACTAGGATCATCTCTTGTGATTTTGGTGCAGATCTGATTATAAATGGGGAAATGAGAGCCATTCGTATTTTCATGGCGAAACACCTCACTTCGGCATGGCGCCACGGCAACACCATTTGACTAAAGCTCTCTGTGCCTTAAACGAAGTTAGGACAACGTGTTGTCTGTCAGCTGACACAGTTTTAGGTTGTTGAGGTCAAGTAGGACAGAGAGGGACCATTCCAATTAAAAAACGTGACTTCCGGTTCTCAGGGGGCGTGGCTTCAATCATGTCAAAGTTTTAATATACAGTTTTGTTTGGAACCCAGAGAGGATTAATACTACCAAGTTTCGGGACATTTCACGTTTATATGTAAAAGTTATTGCGCTTCGAAAAGTGTTGGTGAGTACGCCAACTTCGAGGCCTGGCCACACCCCTTTAAAATGCTGGAAAACTCAAAAAGTTTGATAAGTTTAGATCTCACATGCCTTATCTGCATACATGCCAAGTTTGAAGCCGATGGCTCACCGTCCCTAGGAGGAGTTCGATCAAATATAGAGGCTAAAAATGCAAAATCACAGTCAAAATTTGAAATTGGATCCAAGATGGCGGACTCCCTGAGCATAATTTAGTATGACGTTAATTGACTTATTTGTAAGTGTGAGGACGCTCTACAAGTGTGCCAATTTTCATGTCTCTATGAGAAAAAAAGGTCAATGGGGAGGGTATTTTGAAAATTTTAAGGGGGCGCTGTTGAGGCATCTGGTTAGCAATTTTTACGGGGCCATTAAAATACGTAAATTTTCACCAGGTCTGATGCGTCTGCAAACTTTGGTGAGTTTTGGAATATGATAAAGCCTCCAAAAAGCCATTTTATTTGTAAGGAGAAAAATAATAATAAACACTACAGATACAATAGGCTCTCGCAGCAGCGCTGTCGCTGCTCGGGCCTAATAAACGGTACAGGAACAATAGGCTCTCGCAGCGGTGAGCTGCTCGGGCCTAATAAGAAACAGTACAGATACAATAGGCTCTTGCAGCCTTCGCTGCTCGGGCCTAATAAGAAACTTTCGAAATACAATAGGCCTTCGCAGCGCTTTGCTGCTCGGGCCTAATAATAATAATAATAATAATAATAATAATAATAAGAAACTTTCGAAATACAATAGGCCTTCGCAGCGCTTTGCTGCTCGGGCCTAATAAGAAACTTTCGAAATACAATAGGCCTTCGCAGCGCTTTGCTGCTCGGGCCTAATAAGCTTCCTCAACAAAACCACAGATGCTAGTTAAATAATAGTGGCTGGCCCCTCAAGTGGTAAGTCCTGCAAACAGGACGCCTGGATTCATATCGCAGCTGGGGGGAATGAGCTGCCAGGGTGGGTCCTTAGTCAAGACCCTTGACACTAATGCCTGCTTTGGGGAGTGGCGGCCTAGTGGTTAGGGCATAGAGCTTGGAATCCTGAGGTTCTGAATTCAAGCCCCACTCCCAAAGAATGCCACTCTGGGTCCCTGAGCAAGACCCTTAAACCTCACACTGCTCCCCGGGCGCCGCACAATGGCGTTAAATGCAGATGGTTGTACTCTGTACTTTTTACAGGGAAAAGTTCCATTGGCCAACAGGACATTTTCCCATGGCCTCTAGTGAATTTGGGAACTTTTATCTATTTATTTTAAATAATGGCTTCTTCCTCTCTGATCGGTCCTTGTTATGACATGAATTAATTTCCTGTATACAATTAAACCTTAATCAGCTTCAGATAGCATCATTTGCTACTTTTTTGGGGTTGATGCTGAAATTTCATACCAACTGTGACACAGGACCCATCTCCACCTAAACTGTCTAATAACTGCCCATTGCCATGATGTATCACATGGGATAAGTTTCTCTGAGGGGCCTTGGAATACACGCACTGGAGCAAACACCTTGGTGCATGTAAACCGGCTTTGAAGAAAGACATTAAGAGAAACATTTAATTTTTATTTTAAAAAAAATACCCTTAATCCTAACAGACCCAAACACAGAAGTGTTCAGTCTGGAATGTCAAACTGTGAAAAATAGGTCATGTGTCTTTGTCTACACTATATCTAAAAATTGCTTTTAAACTGCAATTGTGAGCAAAAGCATTCAGTTTGTGGTTCAGGAAATATACAAAGAGTGTTTCTTTCTTTAGAAATGAAAAAAGAGAAACCGAGAGAAAAGGTCAAGCAAGCGGAGAGACACCTATCATTTGACTCATGTACCAGAGCCAGAGGAGTTTCCTGAGGAAGGCTAGACTTTTAGTTTCTACTCAGACTGGCCGCATTCATTGTTGACCCACAGAACTGACATTCCAAGAAAAAGCAGAGGGGGGATCTTTCACTTGGCTCCCACGCAGGGCCATCCAAAGGACACACATTTTTGCATATTTAACGGCACGCAGAACCACCCCAGCTTACATCATTAATCACTTGTGCATTCATCTAAAATGTGGTTTTAAGAGGAAGCACAAGAAGAGCAACCATAGCCAAGAGTAATTAGGCATGACTAACTTCAGTATAACAAAGATTAGAGATAGCCGTGCTGACTTACCAAGGTGGTCTCCATGAAAACTGTTGTCGTGGGATGCTCGACTGTGGTGGATGAGGTCATGGTGTGCAGCAGGCGGCCAGATTTGACCCGTCTTGCGAACACTCACAATAGTGGCCTCCGACATGACCACATGGCCTCCTTGCTGCCTGTGGTGACGCTTCTGTGACTGTGGCGTAGGAGGGCTGCTGCTGTCGTAGGAGTGCTGGGAGTTCTGGGAATTCTGGGAAGGTGAGCGGCTCTTCTCTCTGAATGGCCGTCGGAACCCTGTAGTAGGACTCGGGGAAACATGGCTGGACTGTCCAGAGGAGAAGTCCTCCTCACTAGATGTCAAGTTCTCGTTTGAGCTGCAGTCTGGCGTGTAACCTCCACCTCCCCCTGCATCCTCAAAGCTACCTGGGGAGTAGGAGCGGCGTGGCCATGTCAGCAGGTGATCGTCACCTCCGCTGTGGTCTTTCATTGTGACCCCACTGCCGCCTCCACTGCCACCTTCACCCATCATTACCCCACCAACATAGACACTGGAGTAAGCCTGGAACTCAGGTGGCTGCCAAGGAGGGGGTGGAGGCTTGCCCCCATTAGCCCTTCCTGAATGCCGCTGGTTGGGTTCCCCGTCTTCGTATTCAGCATCATAGCCACAGGTGCTCTCAGTAGACCTTCCTCTATACACAGGCCTGGCACGGAGCTCACCTGCCACTGTTGCCAGATTACCTGGGAGAGAGTGGAGAGACCTCTTTCGCTCCATCTGCATGGCCTGAGTACCCAGGGAGCTGATTTTATCTGACACATCCCGGTCGTTGACCCTGACCAGACCCCTCTCGTGATGGAATTCCATGTTGGTGTAGAACAGTGGGGGTGGTAACTGCTTTTCCTGACCCTTACCTACATCTCCACTTGAGTGAGAGTTGGCCCGTTTGATTCTCTCAAAGTTTGACCTGAGAGCCGCCACGCCAAGTCCCATCCCCAGTTTGTCTTTTGGGTCTGAAGGCAGCTCCTTGTCTGGGGGTGGAAGAGTGGGCCTTCGGGGGGATAGGGCCATACCACCTCTCTGCTTAGATGGGGAGAGGCCATCAAGGTTGTCACAGGATGTAGACTCAGTTTGTTGGGGTGAGTCAAATGCTGACTCCAAGCCATCTCCATGGGAAGCAGACTTCCTGGCTGGTGGAGGCCTAGGTTTCGACCTGCTTGTACCATCTGCAAGCGGCTGAAAGCGACTCCGATCCATCACAGCATACCCACCAGTACCCCCGATTCCACCAGTCTCCTGCATGTGGGGCTGATGAGATGGTGACTCTGCACCCTGAGGGGCAGCAGGGTCTACCCCCTCATTAAGAGGTGTCTTCCTAAAGCCCCACCGCTGTTTGTCATAGCCTTTCCTCTCTTTGGCCAGGAGGGTTTGCAGATAGATCATTCGGAAACGCTCCTTGTTCACTTCTTGTTCAAGACGTCGGATTGACGCTTTGCACTTCTCCAGCTCCTGCTCTATACCTCCAATGGACCGCAGCTCCATTTTGGGGGGTTCCGAATCAGGGAACTGCGCCTTCCAAGCTTCCATGAATCCAACAGGCTCCACCATATTGTTCCTAAATTATTTTCCTTGATCAAGGTTTAGACACAAATGGGGGTTGGTGTGATGCCAAGGGCGCACCGTTTGACCCCAGAGTCCAGTACGCCACAGTTGTTTTATTTTTCTCTCTTCTTTCTTTTTTCCCCTTTACATACAAAACTGGTCAAGTCCAATAAAACACAAAAAAAGAAATAAACAAACAAAAAACGTGGGTTTGTTTGTTGTTTAGGAAAGCAGTGCGCAAACACACAGCCTAATTGCTTGTACTTGGCGAAGGTTGCGCAGTCGCATCCTGAACAAGAGAAACCGGCTGTTCATTCAGAGGGAAAGAAAACTGTCAATGCGTCATGGATAACAAAAAACACTAATCTGGGGAAATAATAGTGTTTCTTTTGCATATTTCATGAAAAAAAGAAAATTTTTAAACAAATTTCGCTTGGAGACAATGACACTATAGTAGGTCTTCACGGGGTGACGGATGGGGGGTTAGACAGGACATTAAAAGAAGAAAGTAAATGAATCCAGCTCCTTTCACTTACTGCCACCGCTTCTTATTCCATCTTTTATAATTCAGCTGATCACTCAGCCCTGCGCACCGACTGTAATCCCAGGTGCAGCTTCTCAAAATAAGCGCCTTTGTGCCAGCAGTGTAGGTGGTGGGGAGGGGGGATGCATAGGAAAACCAGCAAAAAAAAAAAGGCGATAGGAAAAAACAGCAGAGGTTTTATTATTGATCCAAGCGAGCAGGTACGCCGTCACCAAAAACAGGTTGGTTTCCTAATGCCATATCTTCCCCAGCGCACCTGCTCGGTATTGTTGGATTTCATGTCTCCTTCCTTGGATTCATCTTCAGACGTGATGCTGCTGCTGCGCTGTGCGCTCCCATCTCCAACCAGTAAGACATTGGGGCTGGAAGAATGGGAGGGACCAGGGGGCAGTGAGTGTACTGGTTAAAGAGACAGAGCATGGAAGCAACCCCTTCATTCCACTTCCAGATTTTATTCATTTCTCCCAAAATACGGCTCAAATCTGCGATTGTTCCAGCAAGGCTGTTTTAATTTTTCACTTACCCTCCAATCACATCAACAATCTAATTTAAATCAACTGTTAAACACTAATAATAATTTAATCTCCAAATCTACAGGCTTATTTCTGAAATATTAATCTCCATTAATATAGTTTACTACCTTGTGGTTTATTTTTAAGACTGGTTTTGGCTTCTGAATAGTGAGCGCGGTTATCTGAATAGAATCTGCTGCAAAACTAACTCAACAGTGCCCCCTGGTGGGGGAAATATTCACCAAAACCGTTTCTATTCAGTGAAGAAAAAGTAAGAATAACCACAATTCCTTTTTAAAAACCCACAAAACTACAACTTGGAAATTAATAGGCCCATGTTACTTATTGTCAAAAGCCTGTATTTGAAAGTTAAAAAAATCTTCACTCTCAGACTGGGATTTACAATTGTGACTTTAAACCCAGAGGCGTAGCTAGAAAATGTTTATAAGGGTGGCCAGGCAATAACCAATGTACACTGAGGGGTGGCTGATAGTGGATAGGCACCAGAACCTCAGAGTCAGACCAAAGATAAGACAAACTATTCTTTCTTATAGCTTTTGCTAACAAATAGACACAGATATTTAAACTTTCTAGATAAAAGGTATAGTGAATTGATTCTTTCAGGTTTGAGTTCTGGGGGGAAAATCTTTTCTATTGTCATTACTTATCTACCTTTATCAATAATCATTCTGCAAAATTGACATTTACAAGTGCTAATATCTACATACTTTAATATGTTTTTATGAAAAGTTATTTGTCCAGGATTTCACTGAAGACTCCTGTGATAAGTTAGGAGTTACAGTTTTACCTCCTGCCACCAGATAGCTGCGGATATGATGTACCCCCCAGATGTGTGTCTGTGTGTTGCAAGTCATCAGTAGATGAAGAATGAACATATCAAGGTATTTCTGTATCCTTCTGACTCATTAAGATTAGAAACATTAATTCAATTCAATTCAGTTTATTTCTATAGTGCCAATTCAAAACACACGTCATCTCAAGGCACTTTACAGTTCAACCAGATCATACAGTCAAATTGATTCAAAGTTTTCTATCTAAGGAAAACCAGTTGATTACATAAACTCATCGACTCAAATGCAATCCCTCATTACATTACAACTCAAATTTTCTCTTTACCCCTTTAGACAAAATCTAGTTCTGAAAAGAGCATGAATTCTGTACTTATCATCTTTAATGTTAGTATGTTGATGTGCCTTTATGTGTAATTAACCACAGTGTTTTTGTTGTCAAGTAATTATGAATATATGAAAAAATAGTAATATATAATAAATTAAAATGTTTTGAATATTTCACTTGAGAGTATTACTGCTGCCACTGTCTGTATTAGAGGGAAAAAATGGTAGGGGTGGCCAATGATTGGCTAACATGGCCACCCCTGGCCCACCATCTAGCTCCTCCCCTATTTAAATCTTGGGAGTAATTTTTAAATCTGCATCATATAGATCATACTAATTTGACCTGAGAAATTACCCACCTCGCCTCAGTTTCACTAGTTCTATTACAACAACTAGTAGCCTAGGAAACATTTTCCCAACACAAGACAGTTAATATGCCAGGACTGCCCCTGGACTTTTGCCCATCACTTACCCAGTAGATAACTGAAATTTTATTGAACTTTATTGACCTCATATTGCAGAAATTAACTCTCTGCATTTAACCCATCCTCCCAGGAAGCAGTGAGCTGCCATTGTGCGGTGCCCGGGGAGCAGTGTGGGGTTAAGGGTTTTGCTCAGGAACCCAGAGTGGAGGCTGTGGGGAACAAACCAGGTAATTGCAACCTTCTCAGAACACAAGCACACTGCTCTCACCCACTAGGCCAACACTCCCCTTTACATGACAATAACCCTACCTATAAATTAAACTGGGAATACTATTATACTCATTCTCTATTTGGAAGAAGATTGCTTTTATAATTTAGAGATCTTACATTATTAAAAACAACTGAGCATGCACATTTTTTTGTCTCTAGTTCTGTGCAGTTTTCTAACCTGTTAAGCCCTACATGTTTTAATAGATTTCACCCTGAAAATACAAACCTGAAATAAATCAAGAACAGCTCCACGGATATCTGGTCTAAAGGAAAATCGCTGGTACCTGTGTAAAAGTAAGACTTTATATATATATATATAAACACAATTATTTTTCGCCCCTGTTAAATTACTACTGCAACTGTGTATGTCTGATTTATTTGTGATTAAATGAAATATTTTTTTTCCCAAGTATCACCAAATAATCAAAACATCCTTTTGAAAACTCAGACGCATCAGATTCTATATGTCAACATTTTGACAGACAAGCAGGCACGCCTGTCCTTTGGCAGATTAGTCAGATGTGCCAAAAGTGTACTTAATGTATTTTTTACCACATATAAAGGAATCTGCTCAAATAAAATACTGATATCCACTGAATGACTCTATGTGCATAGAATCATTCAACCTGTGTATACAAAAACTGTATTATATCAATTTTAGGGATTTGTTTTTAACATAACTGAATAACAATGAGAATCACTGGAAAGCTTTTTCTTGACACCAGACATGCTGGATATGAGCAAGAAGATGGGATTTCCTTTTAGACTTCGTTTCACTGTAAAGGACCCGTAAATATGTACGTTAGGTTGCTCTAATACCATAAATATTTGCTAAAGGTATTTATGACCATACCACATTCACCACTTCAAGAGTAAAGTGGCTTATTTTTCAAATATATAATATACAATGGGTAATAAAAACATATTAGTATATACCTGATACATTGCTTTTTTTGTTTTTGCAGAATTGCTTATCTTAACTTCTCCAAATAAGGCTTTTCTCATTTTAAAGAAAATATTTAGTTATGTAAGAACACAAAGAACTTTTTCCCCCTATGTAAGCAGGTCTGACTGCCTCTAATGTGATGATGCCTATCTCAACATTTAAGTCAGTGGGAAGAGATCCATAAAAGATCTACTTTTTATTTTGGAATTATACAACCAAAGGCACAGGGGGGAGGTCTAAGAGCTTTGAAATATTGCACTTAGAGCAAAAAATAAAACGTTGGTATATTTCAAACACTAAAAAAAAATTAAAAAATGGTAAGTTTGATTAAAATTCAAACCAGTTAGTGCTCTTCAAAAAAGTCGCTGACCAGCTTGGCCAAAAGCTAATGGCGTAGAATATGCCTTCAAAATAAATGCATCCCATTGAAACCTCTTAAACCTTACACAATACATACCTGTAAATATTTCTTCAGTGTGAGGAAAAATTCCATTTATTAGCAAACCCAGATCTCAAATTACCTAGGCTCACACAGTTCCACTTAAATACCAAATCTGTCTGACTGTAACGGTAGGATGGAAAATAGCATCCAGCTGTAATGTCTATTAGGGCTGAAACATTTAATGTGATTGTGATTAATCAATTATTGAAATAATCATCAACAAATTAAGTAATGGATTGTTAACTGGAGTGTAGGGACTCTAAAACATGCCTTTAGCTGTCAGAGTAACCAACCTTGAGCAGCAATTATGCCAAAATTGTAATAAATAAAAAAATTTGCAAACATTTTTGCATTCAAGATAAAAAAAAATTTCATCCGTCAAAATGCTCCACCCAGAACTCAAGTGGAAAAGCTTCGTTTTCGTTTGTTAAAATTTTGCAAAATGTCTTCTTTAAGGAACATTTTGCCTTAATTGACAGATTAATTTGCAAAATAATTGTTAGTTGCAGGCTGCAGCCCTAATGTATACACGTAAAATAAATACATTTCATTCTAATACCTTTCAGTAAGAGGTATTCTACTTCCAAAAAAGAATCTGAGGTCTTTTACGAATCTTTATCATGGATGCCACAATATATTAGTTTATCTTATTTTGGCTTTACCTGTATGAAAAAAACAAAACAGAGACGAATGAAATACTAAATTATTTTATTTACCTGAAACAACAACCTCAGTAATGTATGTACTGTACAATCATTATCAGCCTTCAGCAATGATTGACGTTTACATATGGTTATATCGTTTTTTTTTTTTCCAACCGGGTGTCAGGAGATGACCATACAGGGTCCCTCACATTAAATCACAGTTTTACACCAGTTGATAAAGATACATAATTATAGGAATGTCAAGGCATAAGAAAAATTAAAAGGAGCTGTATTGCAGGTTTCACTGAGAAATGAGCGACAGTCTGTTAACCTAAACTCTCTAACGGCTAATTATGGAGTTAACTGGCAGAGTGAGCGATACTCTCACATTAGGTGATGTGATAAAAATAAGTTAAAAAACAAAATGCTATTTAAAAAAAAAAACAAAAGCTAAAGTTAAGCACAGTCAAGTTCAGCATGAATCATTTATCCATGTCCAACATTGTGCAAATGACCCAAAACCATTACAATAAAAAGTGATTTTACAACTTTTCTTTTTCCTTCTTAAAACTCTCATGTCATTTTGAGTATATTATACATTAGAATCTATAAATACAAATTTGTAAAGCCTACATACAGCTGAAAAGCATGCATGAATGTTTTTTGTACACTGATGTACAGCTAAGACCATTCAACACAATTTTTTCTTCTGCAAAACTGATCTTATGCGACTGACGAGCTACTTATGGAAGATTTTCATGCAAGGAGGATTCAGGAGGGGATGTTTTGAGGACATCCCTGCACATATAGCTGGATCAATGTCCTACATTAGCATATACAGAGTTGTGTGCCACTGTTTGCGTTATACTGTGGGAGGGGGATTGGGGGCAACTAGCAGGATAATTGTACACATTTAGAAAACACCTTATTACTCGTGTGTATGTATGCTGCTGGTCGTCACGGTGTCTGCAGTGAGCAAAATTATGCGTATAAGCAGTGAGCACACACCTAGTGGCAAGAGGATTCTCCAACCTCTCATTCTGCTCTGATTGCCAAGTTTTTATGAAAACCGACCTAGGAGGAAAGCAGAAACATCATCAGAGAGCAAACCTAAAAAATAAAAAAGTATATATATACATATATGCAAAATGTATATTTGAGGTTTACTGTATATATTTAAGCAAGTGTCAGAGGTGAACAGTACAGCACACGGTGACGTTCACTAAGGTGAGATGTGGTGAATGATGCCATGATTACTTCTCTTGCATATGTATATTCACATATGAAGATATATCTGCAAAATTATTGCATCTAAATGAAAGAAAATGCTGAAATGTTTCAATAAGGGATTGTTTTAATGTACAGCGCCTTTAAAGGGTCTTATACACCTTAAACCCTTCACATATTTAGTCACATTCAAGGCACAAACTTTGGTGTAATTTTGTGATGAGAGACACTAACAAAGCAGAACATTGTTACAGTGGACAGTTTTTTTGGCCTGTATTTGTATTCAGTTACCACTGAAAACTTGTTTTATTTGAAACAGTATTACAGCTGTTCTGCCTTAGAGTTTGGGGTTATGGACCCCAAGCTTTTAACAACTAAAGGAGCACTAATTAGACCATTTTCCAGAAATATAGTTTAGCACAACTGCATACAATCAGAATCCGCCGAGAAGCGCATGGTGAAGATGGATGGACTTCAGCAATTCACAGCACAAATTATGTAAGACAAAATGTAACTAATTGTCTGCAGCAGGAACAAGACGGTTGATCAATGGCGGTTAAAAACAAAGTAAACTGAATCGCATAAACCGAAGCATATAAATAAGAACGATTTAGTGAAAGTTTGCAACTAAATCCAACTAAGATTTAGTAAAAATAGTGGAAAATTGAACCACAGAAACCAATTTTAAAGAGGGACAGATTTATTGCTATCATTGTAACAAATTAAGTTGTATAAAAAGCTATTGAGTCCATGTTCCTCCCACTTAATATTTATGTACTTGGTGTTTGTCTTTCACATAAAATACAGCAAAGTTTGTAGTTGGAATTGACTAAATATGGAAGAGGTTGAGGAGTAAGTTAATTTTTAGGCTCAGTATATGGTGGATATAAGAAATGGATACTCACTCTAGTGATAGGAGAGCCAATGGAAGGCATTTAAAGAAAAAGAAGCACACCTTTGTTAGGGCAAACAGGCAGTGAGAACAAACAGGCTTCTACCTAAAAACATGCTTTAGTTCGGAAAATATCCACAAATTCAAGTTAATGGTCAAACGTTTCTACTCTCGAGTCTGAAAACCTAAAGCTTTGAAGTTTCTTAAATTATGCTAATATATACACACAAGAACACTGGAAATTATAAAACAGCATCAAACATAAATGAAGACAGACAACACTTGATTCAAAGGGTGATATGAGTGTATTTCTTGTGTAGAATAAAAAAAAAAACGACAACACATTTGGGGTTTTGATCTGCAATCAATGTTCATTTGGATCACTTGTTTTAGTATTTTATTTTGTACTGTCCTTTGAATCAAACACTACGGAGATGGTAACAACAAACAGCACCCAGCTCTGTCGCTAAAGTAAATTAAGTTAAAGAATGTCACAATCAATACAAACAAGACACAACTTTAAAAAAAAACGTTAAAGGGGAAGGAAGATGTTTTTACGTTTTCTGCACAAGAAGGTAGGGGGCACACCTCAGATGTTATCTTTTAACAAGACGTGTTGAGGGAATCATCTCGAGATGAGCAAAAAAAAAAAAAAAAAAAAGCATTTTTTTCATCATATTGAGGTAGCTGTGCTCTGCCCAGTGCAGAAAAAAATGACTTAATTTTAATCAATATTAAAAAAAAAAAATGATTACACAAAGCTGTTTATGCTTTAATAATGGAGGGGGACATACACATCTTAAATTAGAAATGAAACTGGGTATAATTCATGCATGGTCACAGGACATGCAGCACTTTTTTGTTTCCCTGTTTTGTTTTGCTGTTTCTTTAAGCCGAGCATCCCAAACCTTTCCCTTGTTTCTTGTCTGCCAAATGGAGCTTGTCCTCTCAGACAGTTTTGAATTTATACTAAAGACACAATGGTAAACAAAAAATAAATCAAGGCGGTATCTCTAAGCCACACTGGTTAAACAATTTACAAAGCCATTAAAAAAAATGCATAAAATAGTGTTCAATCTCTGTACAGATCAACTGATTTGATATCTTCAATTTGTGTTCCGAAGAACAGGAACCTAAACAAAATTATATGAGTAGTGACATGGGACAGAATGCAGATCCTAATAATTAAAACATACCTGCAAGGCAACATGACAAAAAAAAAAACTGGCACAACTATTTTTTTCTTTTAAACCAGCAACAAAGTCCAAAGCTATGGGAGTCACTTCAAGCCTCAGCCATTCCCAACTCAAACAGGCAACTTAAATGTTAACTCTTTATATTATTTGTTGCGTTTCATGATTTACAGTTGGTTCTTCTCATGCACTCAAGCTCACACATTCACACAATCACACACAACTAACTCTACAAACGCACACACGCGCGTGCGGTAGCTATGGACAATTAGGAAGGCAGAGAGATGCACAAGGAGAAGTGATGGCAGTGGGTGAGGGTTGGGGGAGGAATGGAAAAAAAAAAGTTATGGTTGTGCTAAAGTCAGTCAAGACATGAACATATCAGCCAGGTTAGTGTCAGAGCTGTAGATCCAGAGGACCAGAGGGAGGGAGATGGCCACAAATGGCCAGGAGATGCCCTCCATACATGCAAACAGGGAGCAGCCTTTGGAGCTGGCGGGCCTCTCCAGCTCTCTGCCGCGTTCCAGGTAGTTCCTGGAGGCAAACTTGAGGAACTCGTCAAGCAGGATGACGGGCAGCGAGATCTTCAGCACCATTAACCACTGGGTCAGATTGAGAGGTGTAATCTGGAAGATGATCTGTGATATAAAAGAAGAAGTTAAGCTTCCATTGCGAGGGTTTATAAACTACAACACTACAACTATATAATGAACTATGTCCTACTGGAAGAGGCTCCACATAGAGGATGAGGAAGTGAAGGGACATGGAGAGGCAGATGGCACCCAGCAGCCACACATTCTCCCAAGGAGGCATCCGCAGCAGCGACTGGTTCTCTGACACACTGTGGAGAACAGGCGGAGGTGTTCATTAAATGGTCGCTAATAAACTTTTCTTTGCCTTCAAAAGTTGTTCTGTCCTCCTGCATCAACATGTCACCTTGCAAAAATATTTATAACCTTCAAGTTTTCAGCATTTTGTCTTATTATAACATTGAAAGTTGTAAGAAACATGCTTTTCGAGGGGTAACAATGAAATATGTGTAAAACCAACCTGTTGAGGGCGTTGCACATTTCGATAGTAACCAGTACCGACAGGGCCATAGTCATGGGGTAAGGGGACTCAAACACCTTACAGTCCACACCCTGGTAGTCTGGATTTTCAGGGCCACATTGCAGGAAATGACTCTGTAAGATATGAGAGATGATGAGAGATCAGAGTCTGGAGCTGATGGCAAAGTTGCATTAAGTAAACACGAGGCAAATGGTAATGTCAGAGGTTAACACCTACCAGCTGGTAAAAGGTGATCCTTGGTCCATCCTCAGCAGCAACAAACCACCAAGCAGCAGCACCAACTGTAGCAGCTCCAACATAACCTATTAAAGAGACAAAACTATTAAAATGAAACATGCAATAACATGCAGGTTTCTTTATTTAATGTGGTGTTTGTATTTTTTTAAGAAGATTACATAGCATAGTCATTTGCATTGTCCTAACTTACACCCAATGGCAAGGTATCTGAAGAAAAGCCATCCGGAGATGAGGGGCTCCCTGGCATTCCGTGGAGGTTTGCTCATAATATCCAAGTCGGGTGGGTTGAATCCTAAAGCAGTGGCAGGCAGCCCATCAGTAACCAGGTTGACCCAGAGCAGCTGGACGGGGATGAGAGCCTCAGGGAATCCCAGAGCTGCTGTCAAGAAAATACTGCAACCACATGAAGAATAATGGTCAAGAAGGAGAACATTTATGGTAAAACATATTTATATCTAGAATTAGGATTATTTAATAGGGAATATCAAACCAGCTCTCCTTACCAGACAACCTCCCCAACATTAGAGGATATGAGGTATCTGATGAACTGCTTCATGTTGTTGTAAATGGCTCTGCCTTCCTCCACCGCAGCTACGATGGTGGCAAAGTTGTCATCAGCCAGCACCATCTCTGAGGCAGTTTTAGCCACAGCCGTTCCTGAGCCCATGGCAATGCCGATCTCGGCCTTCTTCAGAGCAGGAGCATCGTTCACACCGTCGCCAGTCTAAACCCAAAACAAAGCCGGTCAGCAAAACATATTTCCTGTAACTGCTACTGCTGTGACTTTGAGGCGCTCTTTAATACCATAGCCGTAATCTCATCATAGGACTGCAGATACTCGACAATCTTGGACTTGTGCGCGGGTTCAACACGAGCAAAGCAGCGAGCCTTGACCACAGCATCCCTTTGCGCAGCAGGTGAGAGATCATCAAACTCTCTGCCAGTGAAAGCCATGCTGGAAACATCGTCATCTTCTCCAAAAATGCCAATACGTCTGCAAATAGCCACTGCCGTACCTACAATATTTGCACACACAGCATTTACTACTTCAGACTTGAACATTTAAACATTTTAGTCTCTCCAGTTTTGTGATTTGTGTAATTTACCCTTGTTGTCTCCAGTGATCATAATTACTCTGATGCCAGCAAGACGACAAAGCCTAATAGAAGCTGCTACTTCTGCTCTGGGAGGATCCAGCATGCCAACACAGCCCACAAATGTTAGATCAGTCTGAGAACAAAAAGAAATACAGACTATAGAAGTTAAAAAACAGGTCCAACTATGAGGCACAGCTTATCCTACTCCCCAGGCTCTCACCTCATATTCCACAAAGCGAGAGGAATCCTCCAATACAAGGCTCTCTTTGTTTGCAGGGTTATCTCGCGTTGCCAGAGCCAGACAGCGCAGAGTGTCTCTGCCAGTCCCATACTCTCTAATCACAGACATGATCTTTTCCTTGATAGCAGGGGTCATGGGCACCTTGCTGCTGCCCACACGGACGTGTGTGCACCTGTCAATAACTCCCTCTGGGGCACCCTATAAGCAAAGATGGTTAAGATGATGAAATGGGCAGGAGATATCAAAAGACATAAGATGTCCATCTGCAGATCCTTACACATTTTAGACTGAGTTTTCCCAAACAATTCCAGAATATAGCCTTTTTTAACCACCGTTTTGAGGAGTGTTAAAAGAAGAAGATTTGATTTTAAGGCTGATTATGGTCAGACTTAAAATGTGAACCTGGATAAGTAACAAACTAAAAGGATGGAATGGGTGGGAAACTGACAGAGTGAAAAAAGATCATGGAGGCCTGGTGGAAAACCAGATGAAGAGATAACAGACGAGCAGAGGGACAAATGGATATAAGATAATGAAAATGGATGGACTGACAATACTGTTGGGATGGAGATTACAGTAAGAGAGAAGACGATGAATTGTGGACAAATGGACTGAAAGATTGCGTGATGAAAATGTGGAGGTGGGGTGACTGGTCGAGCAGCTAAAGAGACAGACCAATGAGAAATAGATGAAGGGATGCATGGACAAATAAGGACAAGTGTATAAATTGACGGATGGCTGCACAGAGACATGAATAGATGCATCTTTTGACAGTTAATGAGGAAAAATCTTTTTGTCTAAACTCTGCTCTCTTACAGATAGAGTTTTCTTTTACCTTAACAAACATCTTGCCTAAAGGAGACCTCATTTTATTTGGAGTGCAGTATACAGACATAGACTTCCTGTCTCTGGAAAACTCCAGAGTAAATTCCTTCTTCATGAGCTGCTTGATCACCTATGATGAATGGAAACAGACATGAACATTTATATATCATTTTAAGACTTTATTGTTTGCTTTAAAGTGTTAAAGGTTACATACAGAGTTGCAGGCATTGGCTCGCTCCACTTTGGACAAGCTTTTAATGTCCGTATCAAGCACGTTCATCTTCTCCACCAGACATGTCAGAGCAGTCTCTGTGGCCTCTCCCACCTTCTCATATACACCTTTTGTCTAAACATAAAAAAAAAAACATATTAATGACTGAAACAGAAACAAGTACAATGTCCAAGAGAAAGACTTTACACCACAAACCTCATTATAGTCCAGTGATGAGTCATTGCATAGAGCACAGATAGTGGCCAGCTCAACCAAGCCATCATACTGGGAGCATTTTACTGGTTTACCATTGTGAAAGCTAAAACACAAGAGAAGTGAAAAGATCGATGCATATTACTGGTTTAATGGTTCTCGCAGAGTTCCTCAACACATTTCTACATGTATGATCTTGATATTTTAGCTGTAAAATCATTTATTTGAGCTTAGAAGACATTTTAAAGCATTGAATACTCACACTTCTCCCTCTGGGGCGTATGTGGAGCCGGTAACAGTGAATTCCTTTAATGTGCAGTGCTCCCCTTCTGCTTTATCGATAATAAACATCTAAAATGTATAAAAAACATTAAAAATATATTTAAAAACTGCTTGAAAAGTCAGAGTCAAAGAAACATATCTAATGTATCAATGCTCAGTTTTTAGATAAAAAAAATGGAAGGCAACATTATTCTGTCTTTAATCCAGCAGGTGGCAGCCTGTTACAACAGTGAATAGGTTATAATCCAAAGCATACAAAGAACACTGTGGTGGGTCAGTTCTATAAATGTCATCTTAAAACAACCGAGGCACAATCTTCTATGTTGGAGTTTAAGTTCAGGAACACAAAGTGGAAGATTTAATCCACTATTTGGAAGCAATTTAATTCTAACCTTATGGTTTGAATCGTTGGATCATACCCAGAGTAGCAGAGTGTAATAACCTTCAATGCAAACTTCACTTAAATATAATCACTTAATACTATCATCACAGCTTCTGCCAATTTTAAGAATATGCTGAACTTCAAGCTGCAGTTTCTCATCCAGCAGTCAAATGAGTAGTTATTAATAACTACATTCAAAATTGTACTCAGCATCTGCTCTTAAACCCAAGGGAACATATTTCCCTCTTCAAATGAAAAGTAAAATGTCCATTTAAAATGATGTGCAGGCATTATGTCAGCACTCAAACTACAGAAAGATGTAGATATCCAGGCAAAGCAGAAAGAGACACAAGGTCAGTTACGCAACTCAACTGGTTTTTGCTGCTGACTAACTACTGCGTACTGATCAGAATTCTGTTTGAGTGGAGGGGCGGCGGTAGAAAATACGCATCCTAAAACATAGAGGCATGGAAAAGGAGAGCCGTACGCTCAGATAGGCAGTACCCGACATAATAGACAAGATATTTATGCCTAGAACTCTGGATGGTGGAAAAGAAACCATCTAATTTTCTATGTTTCCACTCTAATACATTAATATTTGTAATGGGTCATCCAGACAGAGCAATACGCACTTCCCACAGTGCTGCTGATCCCAGAAGGATTCTTTCATACATAAACATATCCTGCAACACATCCCCAGTGTTGTGCTCAAACACATTTACAACAGCCCTTACATTTCCTAAAAACCCTGAGATGCTCTTCTTTCACACGACAAACCTAAACTGGGTGAAATCCTCCTTGGCATCTAAAAAAGCTCTTTTAGGTAGTGAATAAAAACTGTAAACTGAGTCTTTTGGTTATTAAGCTAAACTACTTTAAGCAAAGAGCAGCAGCATTTCATAACAATGGTTAAAACTATTGGTGCTATATTATTGCACTCATTGTTTATCTTTGTTAATGGGGACAATATAACAATCCCATCAGTTTATAACTTGGCTATAAACCCTTACTTTGCACCTTTTTTTAACAGTTTATATTTCATTATCAAATGCAAATTTTTGCATTGCAATTTTTTTGTTTTTGCCTAGGAGCTTGATGCAGACAGGGTGTCTCCAGATAAGGTTGCATCAACAGCAAATAAATAACCGACAGCTGAATGCATTCCATCACTGTGGTCATTTCTTTATAACCATCAGAAATCAGTATAGCTAAAATGACACGGCTAGTATTATATTTAACTGTCTCATGACAGTCTGCCTTTGTCCATGTTCTGCTCTTAGAGTTGAATATGGCCATGTTATGTCAACAACTAATTTACATTCATAATATATCCTAAAGATTCTCACCCCCCCCACTTGGAAACCTAAAGAAATGTAACGGATCAGCCTACTGGAACCGTTGGGCATCTATCCAAACTTTTCTATTTACTGGTGCCTGTAAAGCAGACACTTGATCATGGTGTGCTGTAAAACTATAAACTCCATGTGGTCTTCTCTTTTCCAAGAAATGTCTGTTCACTTACCCTGCAGACAGACATCTGATTGGTGGTCAGAGTGCCCGTTTTGTCAGAACAGATGACAGATGTACAGCCAAGGGTCTCCACGGAGGGCAAGCTGCGGACAATGGCATTCTTCTTGGCCATGCGGCGTGTTCCCAAAGCCAGGCAGGTAGTGATGACAGCAGGCAGACCTAGAGACGGGTTACAACAGATTCACAGACGGGAACAGCATTAAGCTTAAGCTGATGAAAATCAGAAAATGATGGTTTTCCTTTAGTTTTCCATACCTTGACAGGTACAACTAAATAAATGTTTCCATGTTTTTTGTACGCCTTAGGGGGCAAAAACATTTTCTGGGCATGTTGAATTGTTGTTGTAACTAGGCTTACCCTCTGGAATAGCAGCGACTGCCAGAGCCACTGCAATCTTGAAGTAATAGACTGCCCCTCGGATCCAGGAACCACCGTGGACAGGGTCGTTGAAATGTCCGATATTGATTATCCAAACAGCAATGCAGATCAGTGAGATGACCTGTAATAGCACATTTGTTCAGGGTGAAGATTTTTGACGAAACAAATAGGTTACCATTATCTATTACACATTGATCTAAACCAGAACTCTTGACAGAAGAGTAGACATCTGTAAACCTTGGATAGTTGCTGCCCAAACTCATCCAGTTTCTGCTGCAAGGGCGTGCGCTCCTGCTCGGTCGCCACCATCTCATCTCGGATTTTCCCGATCTCAGTGTTCCCGGCTGTGGCCACCACCACACCTACAGCCTTACCTGCGGCGATGTTTGTACCCTAATGAAATTAAGCAGGTAACAAACAGTTAATATTAAAAGGTCCTTCGTCCCATCAGGAGAAGTTTGAGCCATTAATGAAAAATAAAAGGCAAATACTTTAATTTTTATTTTGGCAGCATTAATTGTAGTCAAAGAGGGTTCTACAACAAAAAAAAACTTAAAGGGGCTGTACTGTACAACACAAATGTACAACACCCATTCATATAATTGTTTTTAAAAATCATTTAATGTTCCCTTAATTTCATATTTCACATGATCCTTATAAAATATGTGGACCTTTGTGGATAGTGCCAACTTTTGGAAAAGCTCCATCAGTATGAATTCTCTTAGAAATCCTGTATGCCTCTTCATGATTAAAAACCAAAAAAGAGGAAAGCATTGTGCAAAAAGAAAACTGAAGTGAATAAGGCTCAACAGGTATCCAAATACAAATGAAAAAGAGACGATCCAGTGAGTCACTCACAGAAAAGAGCATGTTCTTTTTATCCTGGTTGACAGCTCGTGGGTCTGGCACCGGATCTGTGTGTTTGATCACAGATACGGACTCTCCTGCAAGATGATGAAACAGGAGATATGAGAACAGGAAATGGAGTGAGTTTCTACACAGCAGAGCATGAAGAGGTAATAGTGGTGGCTGGCTGACATTTTAGGTAGATGTATGGAAAAGGCTTAGCAGCTGACCGAGCGAGCCTGAAGTCTATCAGATACTGCCCAGGTTCTGTCTTTCAATGGCCTTATCTAATGCCTGCTTACACACCGTCTGTGTGCACTTTTGGACATAATCAACTGTGCATGAATTGTAAAGCTCTAAAAGAACAAGACCAGGAGCGTTTGAAAGGCGGCATGGCCATGAATGGGGAAGGAAAGAGAGGAGAAAAATAGCTCAAACACTAAAATATCCCATGGAATTTGCTACCAATTAAGGCAGCAGAGCAAGACGAGAGATTTAAGGAGTTGATTCACTTCTTCTCCTGAACATCAGACATCCTTCTTAATCTGTAAATTATCCATCCACAGATGGATGCAGGACAGTCCTTGTTCAAAGTACACTCTACTTTTTGTAATATAGACTCAGAATAATGGATTACTATATGCAAAGAGGGCGATTAACTTCACCTACATGTCCAGACTAGACAAAGAGATTTTATTAAAAGAGACTAGTAACTCACAGTGGATAAAGAGGAAAATGAGGATAGATAAAAAACTTGTTTTGAAAAGCTTTTACCTGTCAGAATCGACTGGTCCACCCTCAGAGTGGTTGACTTTATAGAAGTCAGTCTGATGTCTGCAGGCACTTTGTCACCAACTGTGGACAGAAATGACACTTAAGAGATCTTACATTTTAGCTGCATTCACAAGTAAAAAGAAAGACGCATAACCAGAGATCTTATACGACTGATTGCATAAATGCATATTCAAGGATTTTATCTTAACAAAAGTTCTGAGCTTTCACACCATTTAGCCACAGAATAAATACACACATTCAAAACAGCTTTATGGCAACTTTCTACAGCAGTGAGACTTCAAAAGAAAATCACGAGGAAGCTGGAGAAGAAAAGGAAGTACAGAACAAAAGAAGGAAAGTAAGGATAAAAGTATTGACAGACAATAGATAATGAATATATGAATGGATGTAGAACAGATGAATTGGTGAATAGAAAAAATATCAAAATGGATGCATAACAGATATAGAACAGGTGGATCTATAACAATGGATAGATAGATGGAGGGATGCAACAACTAGACAATGGACAAAAAAATAAAAGTCTTGAAATGTTTACACTCATGACTCTTTCCTACTGTATCAAGAACCTAATTTCAAGTAAATAATACCTGATCCGATATTTTTATCGGTATCGGTCCAGATATAAAGAAAAAAAAAAAGTAGATCGGTATCGGTGACAATTGACTCTCTCAGCCTACTAGCCCAATGGCTACATGCAATATATGTTGGAGAAATGTTTTGAGGGGCGGTGTTAAATCTTCAAACTATAATACCACCAACTTAATGAAACATGTCCAGAAGTTAAATAACAAGGAACATGCTGAGATATCGGACTCACCAAACAAAAAGGAAGCAGCTAACTTTGATATAAGCACAGGAAAGAAGTGAAATGTTTCCATGTGACAGTATACAGGCCAAAGAAATCACAGACATAATGCTTGATAATGATAATGACACTTTACATGTTGACCAAGTCAGAGAACTTTTGGTTTAAGATTTTGTGCACAGTTGTTAAATAAAAGAGTCATAACATTTATATTTGTGTTGTTTCCTATTATTTTTTTTTTCCCCACACACAATAAAACAATTTTTAGGTAATAATTCAGTGCTGTTTTTGGTATCGGCCGACATTAAACTTCAAATATCGGTATCGTATCGGAGGTGAAAAATGTGGTTCGGTGCATCCCTAGTTAAAACCCAATTCTCCAAATTCAAATCGGACCAAAAACAAAAAGTACAACCTTAAAAAGCAAAACAAAAGGTGGACAGCGGCTGAATCAAAAAGCTGACTAACACTAATACAGCTATCTTCAGAGAGTAATAAGATAACAGTTTTGTGTTAGAGGCATCAGGAAAAGGTCACGCTTTCAGCATTAATAATGATTCACTCAGACGAGAACAAACCACTAATAGAATTCAGGATGTTCTTTTTTTTTTTGTCCTCAAAAAGAAGGCTCCAGCAATAAATAAACTTGAAATATAAACATATTTCAAGCACAGATCTTCGTTTGAATCTTAAGGCACAAGAGAAGCTGCAGACTTTTACTAGACCTATAAAGATGAAGTTGTTCTGCAGCTTTACTTGGCTTGGGTTAAATGAAAAGGGAGAAATGCTGATAAGCACGGTTCAACATGTATCTTGTAATTTAATAAAAATGTCTTTTTCTTCCCCTCAACAAAAAACACTAAAACCTCTTTAAAAAGTAAAAACCAGCAGAGATGCATAAAAGAATTATATCTAGAGGCTATCATTTGATTATTCATGGCTTATTTTTAGACAAATTTACTGAAAAACCAGAACGGAAACTGCCACTGTTCCAGAGATATTTTCCATTCACTTTGACATCACACAGCTTGAAAGGGCGAAGATAAAAGCGATGACTCGGAGGCGCTTTAGAGATCACTCTCTGGACAGTACAGAGTGGTGACAGACATGTAAACCAACCCTAAGGATTCTGCTGTGCCTGTTGGAGGAGAGGAAAAAGTGGGTTTAGATGAGTTTGTTAAACTGTACGCCCAAAAATGGGAAAACTATTTTGATCATTTGAAGACATGCAGCTGGGATAAGGGGAGGGGGATGATTAGAACATCTGTTTAAAGTAAGGATATCCCTCGCCTTGAGATGAGCTAAAATAGAAACAGTGCCACATGTGACTGCATCCAGACAGTTCATTAAATCTGACCATTCACACAAGACCATTAGAACTCACTTCCTCCATGAAGAAATGGACTCAAGTCAGAGAAACATATTTCATAAGCATCTGGGCTGGAAAGTAAACAAATGAGGTCCTGATTCTGCAGAAATTAGTTTTCACACGGTATTAGAGTAATACGTGTTGCCTCTATAGTCATGCTCATGGATTGGATGGGCTGTTCTACCTTATTTGGTGTCAATGGTTTACTATGCACTGTCAAAACCTATCTATCACAGCTATATCCCTTTAAAAAACAGGAGAGGGAAGAAGATGATGCACTCAAAGCCTGTGGGAAGCTTCTAACAAAAAGTCACCAATTAGAAAGCCTCTAACCAATAGAGAAAAAAAAGGACACCCTGCTAATTTTCTATTCACTGGGGTATACTGGGAATAGGGTCACGGTAACCCACTTGCAGATGAGACGAGTAAAGGCAAATAAAACTCTTGAGTTAAAAATTAAAGGATAATAGATAAGGGTACATTAAAATAAGCTCCAGATAAAATATACTTTTCTTAGTAAAAGTTTAAAACCAAAGCAAAATATAATTGCTACAAGACAGTACTTCTTTTTCACAATGCTAATAAAATTTTACAATATTGCACTGAAGGTGTTCTGGAGTGACCCAATTTTCAAATCCATGTGGGAAATGGTTTGCCCTTGGTCTTAAAGAGAACGCTCTATATAGTTTTTTTTTTTTTTTTTAATTGTGTTAACGGCCTTAAATCAGGGACTTTTCTTCCCTTCCTTCCTCATCTGCTGCCCAAAGATAAACAACCTGTTAGCTGACATCATAGAAGAACCTTCCACTAGCCTTGCAATGTAGCCCTAAAATACCAATAGAGATGGGTATCGAAAACCGGTTCGTGTTCAGAACCGGTTCTGTGTGTTCCAATTCCATGGCACCGTTTGGCAACTCGCCTAACGGTTCTTTTAACGGTTCCAGGCAGCACCAGAGCCTAGCACTGCGCTGGGCAGCACGACTTACGTCACTTTTTTTTACACAAGCTACGCACATGGCATTCAGTAAGCAAGTACTACGTGACCAGGCGTAAGTCTAGAAAAGCAAAACAAAAAAATGGCGTCCCATCAGGTAAGCCGATCGAAAGTTTGGATGTAAAGTGGCAATAACGTCCAACATGCAGAAACACCTGTGAACACAACATGGCATACATTTTAACAAATGCCGTGTTTTTGATGCCTTCCGGACAGAAGCTAAAGTTACGACCAGCATGGAAGGTAACTGGTGGTAAGTACCTACTTTTATATCACTGGCTGTGATAATGTGGTTCCTAGTAAACCATATGCCATTTCTGGAAATAAACCAATTTCCTACCTCGCTTTGGGGTTATTAAACATGCTACAAAGTTGCTCTGCAGTTTGGGGGCGAGAGAAAAGTGACACTTGTTTATTTAGTTTATTTCCCCAAATTGTGTAGTAATGCTTTTTCATTAAACGGATGGCTTCTCCATTAGATTTAGATGATTGTGACGAGACGGGTTGCCTCACTGGCTCAGAGGCTGGCTGCTCCCGTTCACTGCCTTTTGTTTTCACCGAGGCAGGCAGAAATAGAATGTCCCAGGCGAAGGTAGACGAATGTCACCGTGCACTTACCAAGTTTATTGTTTTATAGAATCGATAAGAGAATCAAATTGTTTTACAGAATCGATAAGGGAATCGGAATCATGAAAATCTTATCAATTCCCAACCCTAAGTACCACACGGGTGGCCAATCGAAGAGCAAAAACTGGACCACAAACAGCTGACATGACTTCCAGACACATTAAAGCCACAACACATATTTCTTAAATTGATGGACCAAATTATCTCTGACAAAAAAGTACAAAGAGGTGCACTTGAGTAAGGGATGAAAATGTAATGTTTCCTATTTTACCAGATCAATGAAGATTCCTAAATAATTCTCAAATTTTGATTATGTACAACGATGCAATATAAAAAGCACAAAAGCCCCAAATATAAAAAAGAATAAAAAACAATCAAAGTGAAAGCTGCTAATGGAAGCAAACCGATCAAAGAAACAAACACTTAAAAATAACCCGGCTGCATCCATTCTACACATTATATCCCGTCTTGCACACTAAAGTGCTGTTAAGGGTATAATTAGTGGGAACAGACACCAGTACCACATGTAGAAAATAGAACTGAAAACTGAAACAAGTTAACATTTAGATAGTAGGGCTGGCTAGTCCTGAAAATCCCACATTTAACACCCCTGAAAGGTCACTGGCAGCGCTGCACTGTCTAAATGAAACGGTCACCCTCCATGCTTTGGAAACCGATAGCAGACCCCTTAGGACCAGCAGAATGAGAAGTGCTGGTGTTCTTTCTGAGGACAAGGCCACATTTATCCCTCCAGATTAAATCCTATATCAGTGAAACCGACAACACTGACAACATCAAACAAAAACACTGCAAAGTTGCACCATATATATTGAATGCTCTGAACTTCCATATCAATGCGTTTTTTGTTTTGCACATCTTTTTTCCTCCCACATCGTTTACATTTGATCTCTGCTGCACTTTAAGAAATGGAAATGCCATGAGAGCTGTACAAATCGAAATTTCACTTTGTATACACGGAGTGTATACAATATGATAATAAAAGTTGTCCAAGTCTAAATATATCTGAACATGTTAACAGTCATCTGTTTAATGCCCAACAAGCACCTTGGTTTAGCTAGCTCTCCTGTTTAAGAGCTCAGAGGGCCGTAAACAGCACTCTGGGTCACACAGCTTAGGCAGCAACAGATCCCGCCCTCTCAAGTTACACAAATTCATTTTTAAAAAACAAGCCAGCATAGAGCACCAATGTGCTTTACATTGACCTAAAAAACATTTAAGAAATCTCAAACTAATACTTTGCTGCTTTAATATATCAAATTAATGTGTTCATTTATCAAGTTCATCACAATAACTGTCATAATTCTACCATTTCGGGTTTATTAGTATCGTTCAGTATTAACTACAACTGTTGACTTTGTCAGTCCATCTCTGGTTTTGTCTCCAGCCTAACCATTTTTATCTAACACCCTCTTGTTTAGCATTCACATGATGGATGTAAAACAGAGGTTGGCTTTAAGAACATAAATGTTTCTTCACCCTCCAGCTATTCAAAACTATCACATGCTAAAGTTCTTTATGATAGAAATACTCTAGAATTTGTTGGGTTTCTCCACTCTCGGTGCTGTAATCATCTAAAGAGCTTATTGTAATAATCCTCGTTATTGATTAGAAACTTTGCATATGGACCATCTTTGACAGTTTATTAGTGATAAAGTTAACCTCTCTGTAGAAAAAAAATTAAATAAAAGAGGTATAGGCTTAACAGGAAGCACCAAGGACTAAGCAAAGCAAATCGCCAATGGCTGCATCAACCAAATTCAGTCCACTTTTTGAGCATGATGGGTGCTGGAGCTATAAGGATCCACGGTTTGACTTCTTTGTCCCCTAATTTGAGTATTTTGACAACAGGGGCACCTAAAGAGAGGTTTTTGATAAAAGCTTGAACATCTATGTTTTAAAGTTTATAGTCTTTTAATCTTTTCCTCTGAACGTCCATATCCCTCTGAATGTTTATATCTTTGAATAATCAAGTAAGTCTAAATGAAATGCAGATAGAAAATTGCATAACTGCATATACACTATAGAGACAGATTTTCAATTTTATATTTCTGCAGCAGTAAGATATTGCCAGCTGAGAGCAATATAATCAAAATGGGAACAATTTGAAGTACCTCCAAGCATCTAAAATGCTGCTTCTCAAATGGACACATCCTCTCATATGAGAAATGTCAAAATCACTGAAATTGTAAAACTAAAGCTGAAATAGAAACTGGTCTTGTTAATCTGGTTAATTCAATTTTAATTCCAAGTCCTCTTCACTCCCTTGTTTGGAGTCAGGCTGTGCAAACAACTATTTCCTCAAGGATACAAAGTAAACAACCACTGGTGGGAAAGTAATAAGCCTGGAGGCATCTGGGGACATGTTCTTTACAGAAAGGCTTACTCTCTAAAACCTCAAGTTTGGTGGCCTCTGTTAACTTCTTATGCCACTGCTACATTTATACTTTGTGTATATAAGCAGCAAGAACTACACTGGCTGTATGTGATTATGTTTCTTTCCAGAAATGTGCAGCTGAACTTGAAGAAGTGTTATCATGAAAATTTTAATTTGTGAGCAACACGTCCAACAGTTATTTTCATTTAGGACTACCTTTTTAATCACCTGGAATGTGTGCTGGTATCAGAATTCAGATAAAGACCTAAAAACTATTTTAATGTTGACACAGATATTCCAAAAACATATTTACATGTTTTTATAGGCAGAAATAATAACATTCCATTACTGAAATTCTATTTGTATTTACAGTGATGCACCAATAAAGTGCTCAGTGAGTAAAAGTGCACAATTTTTAACTCCATCACCTCTTCTCTACAGGTAGGTCAAATGCCGAAAAAAATAACTGAGCATCAAAACTGAGGGGCGGTGAATAATGCAGACATTAAGCGGATTAGCCCATATAAAGAAGCTATTTATTTACAATGCAGCCTTACAGGGTTGGATTCCCAAATTTGGTGATTTAGGTGCATTCATTGCCTCATTGTCCGTTTCCTCTCTGCTTAAGGCAAATAAAATGCCAGTAGTGCCTCCAAGTTAGTTTTAAATGTTGCCAGAAAAATCATGCAATTTTCTGAACTTTGTTTTGTGTTCAATAAACTCAGATAAAAGTTTGAGATTTCAGCAATGATGTTTAAAGCCTATTAAAGGACAAACAGTTAATACAGGTTATATTTTGATTCCTTCTTTTAATCTTGTAAGTTTTAGATCAAACCAAAATTTACACAGATTGGTTTTAAAGAGCTTAAGCCCTGAGAATTTCCATTAAATTCCAGAAAATTTGTCATCCAATTAAACTAATCAGTTTATCTTTAATTCTTTTTCCATTTGGCTCACAAAAAATAAAAATAAAAAAAGGGGGGGGGGGACTATAAAAAATACAGCCATTAGGAGTTAGCAATTGGTGTGCTACATTTATGACCACATACCACAGAGAGAGAGAGAGAAACAAATGTCAAAACACAATTTGCAATGCCATTTCTAAACATACACAGCATCCGGAAAGCATTCGATAGTAGGAATCCTCAACCACAGTATCTATATGGCTGCAGGTCATAATGACAAAAAAAAGATAATTTTCTGTACATACTAAAAAAAAAAAAAAAAAAGAAATAAGACAAAGTGTTTTCTATGAAGCTCAAAGCTTAGGTCCTATTTCTACTGATCATCTTTGAGATGTTTACACAGCAAAGCTGAAGTCTACCTGTGGTAACTGAGTTGATTTGACAGCCACATTCACACATCTATATGATAAAGGTCCCACAACTGAGGGTGTATGTCATGAAGTCAAAGTAACTGTCGGTAAACCTTTGAGGCAGGATGTTCAAGGCAAAAATCAAGGGAATATTTCTGTTGTTCTGAGGTTCCTAGTAAACTCAGTGGCACCCATCATCCATAAATGGAAGACAATTGGAATCAACAGGTTTCCTCCTACTGGAAAGGGGAGGTTATTTAAAACTGAGAAAGATGACTGCAGTAATGCAAAGAGACATGGATACAAACCTGCTCCATGGTGCTCATGCTCTCACCTTTCAGCTGGACAGCGACCTCAAGCATACAGCCAAAATACCAAAGCAATGGCTTCAGAAAAACTATTTAAGTCCTAAGGTGGCCCAAATAAAGCTTATAATGGCCCAAACCTCATGGAACACTTCTGAAACCAACACGTCCTCGTTCTACCTGATGGAGCCTGAGGCGTTCTGCAAGGGGATGAGGAGACTGCCCAAGCTTGTAGCATCTAGAGGACTTCAGGCTGTAACTGCAGCCAAAAATAAATCAACCAATGTCTTGAGCAGAGGCTGTTAATACCTTAGTGCAAGTTAGGTTTCTAATTTCAATAAACTTGTTTAACAAACTTTCTCACTAGGGCGTGTTCTGGGTAGACTTTTGAGGGACACAAATGAATCAGAGTAATCTTTTACACTTGGGGTGCTGATGTTTTAAGCATGTGGAACCACCCCCCCCCCACCCCAAGTGCCTCTAGGTCCCTGTGTGATGCAAATCAATGACCCACCCCTCGCTCTCCTAGACTACAGATTGCTCTAGAGTAAATCGGAAGGACTGATAACAATTCCTAGACGGGTGCCGAAATGTTATCAGATGAACAGAGAACGTCCGGTTTCCTCCGATTTATAGGCAGAACTTAGAACTACTGCACAAACAAACTGGAAAAATAAAAGCAATAGCAGGCATATCTGTAGAAAACGAATCAAATGGCCAATGAGGCAGAGATGCTCAAATTTGTAATAACAGCTTTCACACACATCTGACTCAAGTAGATTCTTATTAAAGTTAGTCAACTTAATTCGCAAAATGCTAACAGTATTTCTGGGTATTCTAAGCTTGAGAAGGACATCAGTAGAATTGAATTATATGTTATTGACATATTACGTCTGTGTGAGTTACATCAATTACTAGAGAAGAATTTGACAAACTGCAGCTCTTCTTTACTTGGCAGGAAAAGTTTCCCTCTGAAGGTCTACAAGCATTCCAATAGTTTATACATAGAGGCAGAGTAGATATCCATCTTTTTCTGCATGTTTAAAAATTACTGATGTAGTAGTAGAACAAAAACAATATTTGAATTGGGTATAAAAGGGAAAGGCAGATAGGGCCTTTCCCACAAAAGATAGAAACCAAAATATATTAATTATTGCAGTGTAATAAAATAATGCTTATTGAAAAGCAGATGTATGTGCTTACAGAAAGTTATGCTTTTAGAACCTATTAAACCTTAACACAATAGCATAAATTTTAAAGTGTTTAACTTGCGGAAGCTGGAAGGAGGCCAAACAGTTCCATGCAAATGTTTGGGAACAAAATAGAAATTCCTCAAAACCAATTAAACTGTATTTGCAAGTAATGAAACATTTATTTTTATGGGTAGAAAACCAATTCATATAGCAGGAATTTAAAAAAATTATATGAAAAAAAAAGCCAATTTACTAAAAGAAAAGCTAAACAACCAAACAGAAATGAGAGGACCAGAGAAGATTTGAGCTGTGACGCAAGAGGTATAAACATTTGTGGCCCTGTCAGAGCAGAGGTTAGCCAAGAAATGTTCAGGAACACAGTGAGCCTTTTTTCTCATATTGCTTCAGTTCTTTACATGTACTTAACAATCATACTAAAAGTGTCAAAGGGAGTGAATAAGAGGAGCCAACAGCTGTGTATGTCTAAGACTGAACATAGAAAATTATTCATAGCAATGCAAGATCCCAAACGCAATACATTTCAGCTCCTAGGCTATTTAGCATCTTAGATTGCTAAATAGCCTATATGTTGGTCGTCTGAGAGCAACATATAGTTTATATTAAAAATCTTACCAGCCACTTCTACAATGTCACCAGGCACAATGTCCCTGGCTTTAATTCTTTGGACACTTTTCCTGTCCTGGCGATACACTTTCCCCATCTCTGGCTCATATTCCTTTAGAGCTTCTATGGCATTTTCTGCATTTCGTTCCTTCAAAGTAGAAAAAGAAAAAAACAAATTTTTTTTAAAGAAAGTATGGAAAGATGTCAAACAACCCTGAAGCAATTTACAAGATTAGACAGGAACGACGGGATAATATAATTATTCAACACGCCGTTCAAACCATCAAAACAGAAAACCTGTAAACTGGGATGGAAAATTTAAGAGGGGAAAAATAAGCTTTAATAAAACAGTGAAGGGTTAAACAGGAACATTTTAAGGGTAAGCCATTGTTTTAATTTTGGTGCCATTTGTTTAACCTTTCTAGTCTCAATGGCTCTAAAACTTTCGTCTTCCTGTTTAGAGCATTTCTTTTAGGCTAGATGGTTTTTGGCGACAGGTCTCAGCTTGTATAAAAGGCGGCCTGAGTTCCTTAGCAGATAACACAAACCAGAGCAATGCTTAATATTAGCTTGTTTACTTGTGTACTGGACTTTGAAGTGTTTGTTTTTAAAAGTAAAACACTTGTGTGGTAAATTTTAAGTGCTTTAAAAAGAAAATTTTATATAAAAATGTAAAAAAATTGGTAAATAGAACTGTAATAATCAATTACTGCAGGTTTTTGACATATATAAATTTAAACTGTCAGGTTTAATTTTTAAAAAGTTACAATGAGAGTGAAATTCACAAAACAATGAAGAATATTCACTGCAACACCAGGCCTCATCTTTAATTCAGCAACATGGTTTTTTTTTTTAATTCATTTTAAATATCCATCAAGTACTTTTCCTTGTTTCGCCCGGAAAATACACTAGAGTGTGGATGCAACTGGGAAGCTATCTACAAGAAAGTACACAAGAAACTAATTCTTAAGGAGGCTTGGGTAGTTTGGTGTTAAAAAGCAGCATATCTTCTGCCATAATCTGTTGATGTTGCATGACTTAAGGAAGCTCTAGCTGAAAGAATGCCTGAGCTGTTCTGGTAACCTTTAGAGATGATTTCGCTTGAATATCTCATTATAAAAGACCATCAACTTTTCAATGGTTTTCTGAAGATGTTCATAAAATTAAGAACATCCTCTTCAGAAGACCATTGAACAAAGTGTCTTCACTCAAAGGCCTCTCTAGATCCACTGCAAGACAGACCCATACAGCAGATCCTTCCTGTCTACAGCTATCAACATAAAAAAAAATTACTACAACATTTACTTGGTTGTTTTGAACAGAAATGAAATACATCTGCAGTCTTATAACAGCTAAACTAATTAGCATTATTATGTTAACAAATACATACAGCATATGCTAAAAAGACTGTTGTATAATAAATATTTAACATTCATGTATTATGTAAATAACATTATCAATTTAATCAATAATACGTGCCATTTAAAATGACCATAGTCAGTTTTAGACTTTGTTTCTGTTACATTACTAAATATCAAACATAAAATGACCAATATATGTTTTTCCTCTGATGCAAGGGTAGGCCTTTCAGTGCAAAAATAATCTCAGTTCTCCACGTCAGTATGACTCACTAAGCCTATTTTGAAAGAACACTAAGCATTCAAAAGGGACATTAAGAATCCTTCAGTTGCAAATATTAAAAATGTAATGTGTGTTTACCTGCCAGACTCCTACAATGGCATTTGCTATAAGAATAAGCAAGATAACGAAAGGCTCCACAAAGGCTGTGACAGTTTCTTCTCCCTCTTCAAACCAGGCCAGCACCTGTGTGTTAAACAGAAAGAGTTGATCAGAAATGATATGTGTGATGACAGCATGAAATACTAGAATCCCTGAATGTGGTTTAAGTCAACATGAATACAATTTGCTGTTTTTTTTTTTCATTAATGCCAGTATGATGGTAACAACAAAAGTTGAGCTTCACATTAAAATGTACCACAAAGCAACAAATAGATTTTACATTGTTAGGTTATGACAAAATATAAATGAGCTCAACATTATAGGGCACCAGACAAAAAAAGACATAAATCGTAGATGTATTTTTATTGACTATAGAACAGCTTCTTCTGTTTTTAATGTATGCACGGTCTACTGGTAAATTGAATTGTTACTGAGAAAGATTGCTGATTTTTAATTATTTTTATTTAACCGATTCAAATTTTTCCATGTCTTAAAAAAAAAAAAAACTATTCTGAAACTCGTTGACCTATGACCTTTTAAACATACATATTTGTTTACAATTAAAGACGTAGGTAAGCGGATGTTCCAACAATTGCAGTTCCGAATTCTCCAGAGTGGTGCCCGACTTTACACGAGTGAATAAAGTGAATGTGATTGGGGGCGGAATTGTTATGGCGGAAGGTTTGCAAGCACATCTGGTTGTGATCGCCGTTTTGGAAGCATCTTGCTAACCAGTTAGCAACTTAGTGCTAGTAGGTTCCCAATGGGAAAGGACATTGGGACCAAGTAGCACTAAATTGGTGACTTACAAATGACACTGTCAAGGAACGCTATGGACAGCGGAAACAAGCAAGAGAGTGTTTTGTGTCGGGAGGTCGTGGATGAGTCTCCTCCGCCACAGATTTTATATTTAGAGGAGGAAAGTGGGGACCAAGTTGTTGTTGAAGAGGACGCCAGGAGCTTGGTTTGGTGTAGAAGTTTTACAGCCGTGCGTGTTTGAGCCCTTGCCTCGCAACGCTACCAGTTCCGTTAGCTCTACGCCTGCCGCAGACACAGACGTCCATCCCTGTGAACACTGGGACGGAACTCAATGGTAAAGTAAATGATTCTTATTTCTTATTTCAACTGCTGCATATATTAGCTGCGACATATAACCGAAAATATTTTATTGACAGATTAACGTTGATATATGATTGGCCGAATTTAGGTGTACAAACTGACGTATAACTACCTGGACAGCATAAGATAACAAAAACTGGAATTTTTTAAAAATAGAAATGTTCTAACTTTTGGGACAGTACATGTTTAAGCCAGAATGATTTGAAATTTACATATGACTTCCCTACAACTTTAAACTCCAATGAATACTGTACAGATTGTTGTTATAAAAAAATTGGTAAATAACAGTTGTATCTAGCAGATAGGGTTGTCAAAAGTATCGATACTCAAAAAAATATCGATACTGAAAAGTTGTGTCCGGATACAATACTCATTTTCAAAAGTGTCGATACTGGAAAGTTGTGTCCGGATACAATACTCATTTTCAAAAGTATCGATACAGTGCTACCACCAGTGGCACCTAAACAGTCATTCATCTTATGCGCAGATTAGAGGAAAATGCACTTTCTGAACACTGTGTGATTGAATAATTCTGTGCACTTTTCGGAAGGAACACTTAATTTTAATTTTGTAAGTTTTTTATCAAGCTTGCTTAATATTGTGCACAGCATACAACCTCAAAATATTGTTTATTGTATTTATTTATTGTATTTTGTTTATTAATGAAAAACATTCTGTTGAATTTTGGAGTCTTTGTTTTTATCCTTGTGGTATCGAAAATGACTTCGAATATCGAATATTTTACTTAGTATCGGTATCGAGTTGAAAAGTTTAGTATCGTGATTCGTGACAACCCTACTAGCAGAGATAATAGCTATCCAAAGCCTTACTCCACCATCTGTAACTTTGCATCCTAGCTTTTGACATTTCCTGTTTTAGAACACAGAAAACCTTTTGAGTGCTTCCAAAATCTATCAAATCCAATTTTAGCATCAGGTTTAACATAAAATATTTTTGCTTTAACCTACACTGACATAGAATAGTGCATATATAAATAATCTTTAAGCCTTATTTATCAATTACAACAGTAATAAAGCGTATTTAGAAAAAGTTCAAGCTAAATGTTAGAGGTAAGAAGTTTCAATCCACATTATTTTTCCATTAACGTGTCCTTCAGCATGGACTATCATTCTTCCCTGAAATATGAAAAAAGAAGAACCTTGTTTTTTAAATTCCTTTTCTATCTGCAAGATATTAGAGAAAGAGACATGTAAACGAAGGATCAAGCTGCTTCTTCTCTTGCCAATATTACAAACTGGGCCAAGTGAGTGAGAAAGAGAGCAGGAACCACTATCCCCTCTTTTAGAATCTGTGCCAGGAGCAGAATGTGTCAAATAAGACGCCAAATGTCTGAGTCTTTTCTTCCTGAAGCCCATTTAATCTTCCCTAAACAAATTTAAATTGTATGCATTTATTTCATTACATTTATTATTCAAGGTACTTCTACAGAGTTTTTATTTAAAATTAAATACTGTTATGTTTAAATAACCACCTGTCTTTGAAGAATTTGTGTCCTTGAGAAAAAAACGGTGTTATCCATTTCATTTGTTAACACTGCAATGCTGCATGTAAATGAATTGATCAATGTATCCTGAAAATATTCTTGGACTGGTTATGAGGGCTGAGTGTTAGGACCAAATTTTTCATACCAAAACTAATATATTTTATTCTCCTGATCATTTCATCAACACAGAAATTTCATTTCAATCATCCTTTCTTGGAGCTGACCTAAACACCAAGTGCAACTATGTCCAAGCTGCAAAGCATGCTTAAAAAAAAAAAAAAAACCAGTTAGTAAACAATGAAAATCTAACATGTTTTCAGTGAGGGATTTTTACACAATGAACAACTTTATCAGGTATGAGCATACATCTAAAAACAAAAAGTGCCAGACTGACTCCAACAACAATGAAAGGACAAAGTGAAAAAAAAAAAAAAAAAAGCCAGATTTTCTAAGAATGGGATCTGTATAACTGCAACTTAATTTATCTGGATTTAATTTATTTTGGTTAACAGTCCTAAGCAGACCATTAAAGTAAAAATGTTTGCTTGTCTGGATAAGGATGAAGTACAGGTGCTGGTCATAAAATTAGAATATCATGAAAAAGTAGATTGATTTCAGTAATTCCATTTAAAAAGTGAAACTTGTATATTATATTCATACATTACATAAAAACTCATATATTTCAGATGTTTATTTTGTTTAATTTTGATTATTACAAATGACAACAAATGAAAATCTCAAATTCATCATATCAGAAAATTAGAATATTGTGAAAAGGTTCAAAATTGATGGCCCCTGGTGCCACACTCTAATCAGCTAATTAACTCAAACCACCTGCAAAAGCCTTTAAATGGTCTTTCAGTCTAGTTCTATAGGCTACACAATCATGGGGAAGACTGCTGACTTGACAGTTGTCCAAAAGACGACCATCGACACCTTGCACAAGGAGGGCAAGACACAAAAGGTCATCGCTAAAGAGGCTGGCTGTTCACAGAGCTCAGTGTCCAAGCACATTAATAGAGAGGCGAAGGGAAGGAAAAGATGTGGTCGAAAAAAGTGTACAAGCAAGAGAGATAACCGCACCCTGGAGAGGATTGTGAAACAAAACCCCTTCAAAAATATGGGGGAGATTCACAAAGAGTGGACTGCAGCTGGAGTGAGTGCTTCAAGAACCACCACACACAGACGTATGAAAGACATGGGTTTCTGCTGTCGCATTCCTTGTGTCAAGCCACTCTTGAACCACAGACAGCGTCAGAAGCGTCTTGCCTGGGCTAAAGAGAAACAGGACTGGACTGCTGGTGAGTGGTCCAAAGTCATGTTCTCTGATGAAAGTAAATTTTGCATTTCCTTTGGAAATCAAGGTCCCAGAGTCTGGAGGAAAAGAAGAGAGGCACTTCATCCACGTTGCTTGAAGTCCAGTGTAAAGTTTCCACAGTCAGTGATGGTTTGGGGTGCCATGTCATCTGCTGGTGTTGGTCCATTGTGTTTTCTGAGGTCCAGGGTCAACGCAGCCACATACCAGGAAGTTTTAGAGCACTTCATGCTTCCTGCAGCTGACCAACTTTTTGGAGATACAGATTTCATTTTCCAACAGGACTTGGCACCTGCACACAGTGCCAAAGCTACCAGTACCTGGTTGAAGGACCATGGTATCCCTGTTCTTAATTGGCCAGCAAACTCTCCTGACCTTAACCCCATAGAAAATCTATGGGGTATTGTGAAGAAGAAGATGCAATACACCAGACCCAACAATTCAGAAGAGCTAAAAGCCACTATTAGAGCAACCTGGGCTATCATAACACCTGAGCAGTGCCACAGACTGATCGACTCCATGCCACGCCGCATTGCTGCAGTAATACAGGCCAAAGGAGGCCCAACTAAATACTGAGTGCTGTACATGCTCATACTTTTCATGTTCATACTTTTCAGTTGGCCAACATTTCTATAAATCCTTTGTTTTTATTGGTCTTCAGTAATATTCTAATTTTCTGATATGATGAATTTGAGATTTTCGTTTGTTGTCATTTGTAATCATCAAAATTAAACAAAATAAACATCTGAAATATATGAGTTTGTATGTAATGTATGAATATAATATACAAGTTTCACTTTTTAAATGGAATTACTGAAATCAATCTATTTTTTCATGATATTCTAATTTTATGACCAGCACCTGTAGATTGTGATCGGAAAGTTTAAAAATGCCTGCATCTTTGAAAGCTGTGTAAGATGTCCAGTGATTTTATTTAATCTCTGGTGGGAAAGTTAATATGGTGTCTTCACTTTGGTTGCACTGCTAAATCTCAAAGAACAATGATTAAAGAGTTTGGTTGTCTTTCTAATTCTCATTATCTGTTATCTCGACAAGCCGTTTTTCAGCTTCTGATGTGCAAGACAGCATGATGTAAACATTGTCCAGAACAGACAAGGAAAAACAAAGGTTTACGGTCTATGAAGATTTAAGACTGCAGCACATTTTTGTGCAGGTACCATAACATATAAAAAAATAAAATTTCAACTCAAGTTTTTTCAGTGAAGATATCATACAGACCCATGAACAATACAGAATTATAGAGGTTTGGTGGTTGCAGTAGTACAGTCCCCATCAGGGCCTGTAAATACAAACTAGACTTTCTTCCAGAAATTGCTTTCTATTATTCTACAATATTAAAGACAAAGCATGCTGCTTTTTGGAACAACATTATCAGTGCTTGCTAATGTTTTGGAAGATTATCAGACCTCTAGGTTTCAGCCTAATCAGTCATCATTACAGTATTACTAAAGGACCCATTCTACTTTTCATTTAAAATAAAATTGAGACAAAATTGTAATGCCAATCACTTCCTCCTCACTGTGCATTCACATCGGATGCAAATAAGGAAAGTATTTCATATGCTATCTCCATATAATGGTGCAATCAGGAGTGATTACACAGTCTGCAATGCGAAGGATGTGTTTTGAGTGCATATTAGGTAATCAAAGCGAAGTGGCACCGAGATTTTAGGTGTGGTGGGCGCATGGAGAGAAGGAAGAATAGTAAGCAAAGTTTCTCGATGGAAAAATATAAACTGCTTATTTAATTTGCGTCAAATAACTGATTAGGAACTGGATGTATTTGTGACATGGGGTTACTAAAAATAACATGACTATGATAAGGCTAAAAATAACAGGTAGGAAAGAAGAAAACAGCTCATCTCCGTTTTCTCATGGCCATGACCACAGGGTGAGATGCAACAGCCTGTAGCTCCTGCAAATGCTGTTAGCCATATATAGCCAATATAGTCAGCTTTTTATTAAGACAAGTACTGGATACTATTAGACTTAATGTGAGCACATTAAACTCAGGGCACACTCATTAAATAAAGCATAACAGATGTATAAATAATCTCAGCTCCGGTGATTTCCACTCCCCCAACATGATTGCAAGAGAAGGGACAACACAGAAAACAAAGGTCTGGATAAGAATTTCACAAAATCAGTAGAGCCAAACACTGGTCCTCTGCCCAGCTCACTTTTGGCTCATGTCCAGATATAGTAGCACAGAATGGCTTGGATTAGACTAGGAGTGGAGAAACAGAAAACCTCAGGGCCCTCAAGTCCACTTCTACGTAGACACTTTGCTTTTAAATGGACAAACTGAGACTTCAGTGGAAACATTGGGCGTTTCTCAATATGCGTTCTTGAGCGTTCTCGTGTGATCGTGTACTCGTGACACGTCATCAGCCTCAGCCCGAGTACCGTTCCAATTCTCGAGAACGCACCAAATCCCCGGATGTTGTTCTCGCCCCGACCTCTTTATCGAGCATGCATCAGAGCAGACTTGTGCGTTCTTCATACTGACTGCTTCCCCAGAATGCCCAGCGGCCGCAGCTTGATTCGAGACAGCGCTCACAGTGGTAAGTTAAACATTCCCTTTTCTGTTGCTGTTGTTCTTCAAAAGTACGTTTTGAAATCGTTTGAGGCGATAACATTATACATTGAAGCCTCCCTGTGTGGCCTGTTTACAGAGTTAGTGCGAAATGTAAAAAAAAAAGTCCGACGTTGAGCGGACCAGAGTGACCAGCAGACCTCCGAGGGTAACCGCAGCCAGGGCTAAATTCACCCCGTCTGTAGTGCACTTCTCTCGGTCTAGTTATGTGTGAACTACCGCTCGTTCTGATGGCGGTTTTTTGCGGTTCGGTAACTCTTTTTCATGTTTTTTAAGCTTTAGAAATTAAAAATATTGTTTTCAAAATGTTTTGTGTAGGGAATAAATAGTTTTGACTATTAAAGAAATGCTAAAGAACGTTGCATGTGATGATGTCACGAGTACGCTTCTGTTCCAATACACATACGTGCTTGCGTGCTCGCATTCTCGTCAAGTCCGATCATCCTGCGTTCTCGCCAAGAACGGACTTGACGAGAACGCGAGTACGTACTCGCGTTCTCGTGAATTGAGAAACGCCCATTGTTTTTATGGGCAGTTCAGTATTCAGATGCAATCACATAAATGGATGGTTTTGTTAAGTAGTTTGGTTTATTAACCATCTTGTTTCTGGTATGTTTAAGGCAACTGATCTTTGGGTTTCCAAAAGCCATTATTAAGTTGAAAACATCTGAAGTTATTTTCCAACAATTTAATCCAAAAGTTTGCATCCAAATCCAAAAATTAACATTTCAGAAATGTCTGCAAAGTAAAATGGCTTACTTCAATCCTACATATGAGACCCTTTTACTTTCCACTAAACGTCCAATTGACATTCAATGGGGGGAACTACTGCTCAAAAGATATCTTAGAGGTCTGAACACATTAATTTATGAAACTTAAACTTTTGTACAAATGGACATATTACATCCCAAGCACTGAATATTCTGCTGCTGTTCTTAAATTGCCCAAAAACAGCATTAGCTAGAACTGATGTTTAAATATGATTCTCCTTTATTTTTAGAATGAATATGAAGTTTCCTCCAGAACACAACATTGATGTTAACAGACATGCATACAAAAAAAATAAAACATGAAAATGTACACATTTTGAAGTGAGAAGAAGATATATACCAGTTTAAGTACATAAAGCTGTGGAACCACGTGTCTTGTAACTGAGAGTAAGAGCCTACCTTCATGATTCAGCATTCAAGGCGGCGTTGTTAGCTTATCTAACCATGTTATTATGGTAGGTTTCATAAAGTGATCTCATTGCTCCAATCCTCAACAGGCAACTGGTGTCGACACTAATATTGTTTTATACTTTCAAGCTAGTTTTTGTTTATTTGAACTCCTAATTCTCATTTTTCTTTAAATATTAATATATCCAAGCAGACTTAGCATATAGAGCCATTGCCTTAACATTATATCAAAACAAATTAATAAGAAACTGTCTCTATACAAAGGGACAATGGCCCAGAAATACGAAACCCTGATCCCTTGAAACAATCAGATTAATCAATTTTTAAAATAATGATCTATAATCTAGTAATTGATTAAATAAGAGTGTAGACTCTAAAAAGGGCCATTTAGTGAAAGAACAACCAATGCAAAACAGAATCAAGTCAAAATTGTAAAAAATATTTTATTTTGCCTTCAAGATTAAAACGTCCGAGTCAATGGGCTCTATTCACTTGTAAAGTGGCGCAGTTTCAGTTTCAACTGGATTAAATTCTAGGTTTTTTTAAACTCCTGTGCAGCAAAAGTTATGTCTATTTATAGTTGAATTATCAGAAAAGAATCAATGATAAAAATCTTTAGCTACAGCTCAAAATGGGTTTTTATGATTTTATCAAACAACAGAAGGTCATTCAAACTCGAAGATTCGATAATCTGCAATACATATCTTTAAACAAGAAGTAATCTAATCTAAATCAGGATTGTAATCTCTAATATTTAATTACACAATCAGACGGGATCAGAATAACCAGGAAATGTAGACTGTTAATAAGTTTTTTTTTATTCTTTAAAACAATTGTCACTAATGACCTTTGCTTATGTTTTTGTGTTTTAAGTTCTTCCATTTTATTTTGTTTCTTTTAATATTTTTTTACTCTAATACTTGTAGTGGGACCCGTGGAGAAGGACCTCTATGTTATGGGCTAATGGGAATCCTTAAGCAAACTAAATAAATCAATACATATTGGGTATGAAACTCTTTAGAAGATACTAAACATTACTACAAGACAGCCAGTTACAGTTACACTAATTTAATGTCGGTCGAAAAATATATTTTTAATTTCATGAATCAATCCTGATCTGATCAATTATAGTTTCCAGAATGCAGTATAGGATAGCAGAATATAAAATTGTGATATACTTACAAAGGATATGCAAGCAGCAAGTAAAAGGATCCTCACAAGCAGATCTTCAAATTGTTCAATTACCAGCTCCCACAGAGATTTGCCTAGAAACGATGAGGTTTGAGGGTGAAATTTTGTTCTTTATTAAGAAAACAATTAAGGACGACAGGTTAATATTTTTAGGTGAGATCACTGAACTGTCATCTTACCCTCTTCTGCCGGTAATTCTGCAGCACATCAAGGCGCCAGGGAGAGAGAGATGGGAATACAATTAGTTAAACGTGATTACTTGAGGAGGGATAGTGAGTTGTGGGCTGATTATTCTACACATTAACTTTAACTGAATTTATTGCCAGAGTATTTTCGCATTGGATGTTTAGCGATATTTCAACTAGGGCTGCAACAACGAATCGATAAAATCGATAAAAATCGACTTTTAAAAGCGTTGGCAACGAATTTCATCATCGATTAGTTGTGTCGCGCGATTATTGCGTCATCCGCCGCGCCGTCATCACTGCCTCTTGACTGAAAGAGGAAGAAAAAAAAATATGGCAGAGCGAGTCAGCGCCGCAGGTGCAGTGTTGCCAACTCAGCGACTTTTCAGACCCCTCCAGCGACTATTTTTCAAAAAAGCGACTAGCGACAAATCTGGCGAATTTTTTCGGTGTCACTGGCGGCTTTTGGAGACTCTTACGTGAAAGCATGCATCGTTCCTACTCTGCCGTGGGGCGCCTCCCCCCGCTCCCGCAGGAGTCCCTCTCAGCGCTGCAGTCAAAGCCTCAGCGTCCAGACTGCAAATGAGGCGCGCATGCACTGGGATTGACGGCGCAAATTGATCACAATAATTAAAATAGCCTGCGCTTTGTAAAGCGAAAAAAGTGATAACATGCAACTTTTTTCAAAAGAAATTAACATGGCACGGAACCACCATGTTTGTTTGGTTTTAAAGTGGGGAAACGTAACGTTAGTTTCTCAGGTAGCTCATCTGATGCTTTCCTTACCTGGTTAGTAGGTTACAGACAGTGATAAGGTTGGCTACTTATTTTACTTTTAATTTCATTTGAATTAGCTTAAGCAGCGTTTACATTTACTTTATAATTAAATTAACTTGCAAATTATGAGGGCAAGGCTTTTAAAGTTGAAATCTTCTGGCAAAGATAAAGTAAAGAAGATCCTGCAATTTATGGAAGTAAAGCAGAATAAAATCCAGCAAGATCAGTAATATGTCAATTAATTATCTGCCACATTCCCATGTAAATATCTGTCTTTGGAGGATGTGTTTTTTTAGCACCCCTAGTTCTCTCATTTTTATTCCAAATACAATTTATCATTTGAATCACAGGGCTATTTTTATCTCTATGGTTCAGTATTTTCTCAAGTAGCAACTTTAACTGCTATACTTTCCTGTCTTAAAAGGCCGAACTCTTCTAGTCTAAAAAAACTCATTTGTTGAAATGGGGCGGCCTATTGTTTGAACCCCTTAGGGGCTTTAAAAACAAAAATGTCTTTTTTTGCGCTTTATGAAACAAAGTACCCTATATTTTGTGGATGTACAGCTACATTTCTCATGTAAGTTTGCGTAGTTTTAACACAAACATTTATTTTTCATATTGCACCAGTACAGTTAATGAGCAACCTGTACTTGTGTGCTTGTTTGTTCTGTCTAAAATGTTTATTTTGGAATAAAGAGGTTAATATAAAAAATATTTTTTGTCCGATTCATCGATTAATCGAAAAAATAATCGTCCGATTCATCGATTTTTTAAAATAATCGTTAGTTGCAGCCCTAATTTCAACAGCACACTGACATTTAAAAGCTTCCCCTTTTCTGAGGACTGCCGTTACATCATGGCCCCGCACATGAACCGAGTAAATCAGCATTTTCTTCTCCTCCAACGAACCCATTTCAACCAGCTCCTTACCATTAGCTCCATATCGTTCCCGCTGTTTCTTCACATCTTCTAAACTCAGGCCTGTGCTCTCGTTCACGTTGAAAAAGCTAAAAACTTCCTCCACCGTCTTCGTGTGAGCGTTGTCCATGGTTAACGGTAGGTCGAGGACACAGCTAGTTCCCGTTGCTCCTAACCTTTAACCAGGCAGTATCCTGTTCCTCCGCCCGGTCTGCTCCCACGCGTTAATTTTTTTTTTTAAATAAAAGTACGGAGTCAAATGCTGAATAAAGTCCACGGTAAGCTGACAGGTAGTTGTACGCAGGACAGCGTGGGACGCAGGTGTACGCCGACAACGGACGAATTAACGGCTCTTTGCTAACCAGAAGCTAACAGGCTAAAGCTATGTTGACTCTGCTTAAATTCGCCGGCTCGGTTCTGCTAGCTTTCTCGTGAGACCTTTAGCAAGATTTCATGTCGACGTCACATCAGTTGAACGCCGCCGTCGTCTTCCACTCGTTTTTAAATCGATAAATCTAAATACGATCCGTCTGAATTGGTTAATTAAACATGTGTTAAGAGTTGCAGTTTGGCTCCTCTCGCACGCTCCGGCTATGTGTTGCGGAATCACCAGGGTTGTGATCGGCACCAATCGCGTTTCTTCGTCGAATGCGGAGTTCAGTGTCCGCATGTGGAATGCGCTGATTGGTTGGACAAACCGGATGTCCTATTTTCTCCGTCCACTGTTCGTTTGCATGAATGTAACGTCATAGCTTCGCTCACATTTCAGATAACGTTGGGGGATCTAATATATTAACGTTAACATCAAAAACAGACTAATTAACCCTCATATATTTGATTAATAAATAGGTATTTATATTTGGATAAATGTGTATCTCTTATTAGTAGTTTGTTTTTAACTGGAACTACTCATAATGTTCATAAGTTGGTCAAACAGTATTTTTAAATTATTTTGAAAAGCTCAAGACAATTCCTGAGAATCCCTAAGACCTACAGAAGTTAAGCACATATAATAAATAAGGCTTTTCTTTTTTCTTTTATGTATGGTAAGAATATGTGTACATATATGCATGTACATTGTTAATTTTTTATTTCCTATTTATGCTACACTCTAGTGGTTCTATTTTGTATTTGTAGTGAAGACCACTATTTTTTTATTCAATCATTTATTTATTTATTTATTTTGTTTTTTTTGTTTTCCTCTGTTTTTTGGTCTAAGATGTATATGTGTATGTATAATGACTCACTAATGTTTTATTACTTTTTATTCTTGTGGGTAGACGCACAGTAGTTCTGATGGGTGGGGGGAGGGGGGTGAATTTTATAATGTAAAAAAAAAACATATCTGTTGGATATGAACTGTTTGTTTTGTGTTTAATAAAAAGATATTTTGTTGTAGCACTGTATCTAGGCATTTAATAAAAGACCAGCATCATATGTATATTTAGCTACAGCAGTGGTTCCCAAACTTTTTGGGCCCAAGGCACACAAAAGGACAAGTAAAAATCTCAAGGCACACTTATTGTGCTAAAGAGCATTTAAAACCTGTGTCATCCATCGTGTTTAGCAAAATATTTGTTACAATTATGTACTAATTCAAAATAAATTGTGACAAGACAACTATATTACTCATGAAATATTTATTAACAAAATATTCCAAAATTTAATTTGAAACTTCATCACAATAGGCTTCATCAAAGCAGCCACACGCCTATTTAAATCATGGTTCACAAAATTAAAAACGAAGCAAAGAAAACTCAGCAGAAATTAAGCACAAAGAACTGTCAATGCAAGGAAGCTACACTGTCCATTGTACTGAACTACAAATAATAAATGTAACATTTTTTTATCAGCATTGTGTGTGCTGTTGTAAATATTTTGTCTGCTTACAAATTAGTGAGACACGTGTGCCTGTCGGTGCGCACAGATTTTTTTAATCCTTGGTGGCACTGAGGAGAGGGCCACACGCAAGTCCTGTTTAACAGAGAGCCGTGATCTCCTGTTGTTCTTCATGTAGACCAGAGTAGAGAACGCCAGCTCACGTAGTGGGGAAAAGAAGAAGTTGCTCAACTGCGGGGCGTGAGATGTTTTGGTATTCTGATGCAGAAGCCAACCAAAACTGATCCAGTGGAGCTCACTAAATTTGAGTTTTAATTTGCCCACTCCTCTCTTTCTTTCATTGTCAGTTTTTCTGTTGAAGATTCCTGGTTGAATGGGTCTCGGATCCAGTCGTAATCCTCAACGTCAGCAACATGTGGAAAGTAGCGCTCAAACCGAAGGTGTTCGGCACATAATGCGCGCTCCTTTGCTGCCTGCGGCACAGCTGATGCCAGCGGGAACATGTCCATCGTGCCCTGTTCCAAAGCCTTGCGCCACAGGATGATAATTCCTACCTGCGCATCTCCGTGGTCAGGGAGTTCTCCTTGAGTTTTTTTTTTCTTTTTAGATTATTTTAATGTAGTTTGCCTCTGTTTTGTGAAAATGAATGCAAACAAAGTAGTGATATGACCGTATAGGCTTTTTATTTTTCTGTTATTATATTGTAATGACCATACATGGTTGTCACAAAATTCCCCGGCACACCCGCACTTGACTCACGGCACACCAGTGTGCCGCGGCACACCATTAGGGAACCACTGAGCTACAACATGGTTAAGGGGCAAATAATCAGTATATGTCTGATTTCACAGGCGTAACTTTCTGAAGGACTGTTGTGGACATGTCCCCACCAATTATTTCAATACATAGACTTTGGCAATATGTGGGACAAATTTCTAAATTTGATTTTGTTGATTTTGAAGGAGGATAATCACTAATGTAGCTTAAAGGAAAAAAAAAACATCCATCAATCAATCCACATTTTTCTTGATGGAGAGATTGATGGATGGGAGAATGAAACTGAAATGGTGTAGGGAGGCGATATATATTGCTGTGGCATCGGAAGTGGCTGTTATTCATCCTTTCTTTTATATATATATATATATATATATATATATATATATATATATATATATATATATATATATATATATATATATATATATATATAAATATATATATATATATATATTTATATATATATATATATATATATATATAAATATATATATATATATACTGTATATTGTCTAACTGCCTATAAATATAAATATCATTTTATTTTAGTTCTTTTGTGTTCTCAACAATAGGAAAGCATTCAATAAATATATGTTTGAGCTCATTTTTGGAAGATACAAACCCTTTTGAAAGCGTTTGTGTCGAGTAACTGTAGGTCCATCAGCCCCCTCCCTAAGAGTGTTCCCTCCAACTTTCATCACAAAGTTACACCCTGGGCTGAATTTTATATTTTTTCCTTATTGCCTAAATCTTTAGAGTGATGGCATTAGATTTACTAACAATATTTTGCTGTTGAGTTACCAGGACTCTCTTTCTTTTGGAAGTAGTATCAGATTACACTGGACACCAGCCAGACTTCTTGTGGGGCCACATGCTGGGACAGAACAAGTACATTTTTAGCATTTGTTGCTGTCTTTTAAAATATTCTGATTGGTTATGGTTGTTATTTTTCCTGCTTGCTTACAAATTCATATGTACCTTTAAATTGACAATGAAAAACTACATGTCTGTTTTTGTTTTTTTGTTTGTTTTTTTGTGATTTTTCACACTTTTAGTTTAAATGAATAATGAATTAGAGAAAAAAAACATTCAACCTGCTCTACTTAATTTTCTTACTGAATGATTTTTATTTTTTATTTTTACCGATACACGTTCAGTTTGATAAAACAGTGACACGTGTTTTAAATTCTTCAATATGTAAGCAATGCCTACTTTCATAATATTACTTTTTAAAATCACCCTTACCTTACCATGACACCCATGTTAGTTGCAGTTCCACAATTACATACCACGGCTTTTCAGAGGTTTTGGAAGTCCATGTTGTAAATTTATCAATTTTATAAATAAACTGAAAATGTTCCCCAATAATCTGATATGGTTCACAAAGCAGGATGGCTCCATCACTTATTATCTTCTTTTAGTCAGGAAGTCCCACTGAAGTTATAATTGATTATACAAGGAGCTCTGGCTATGGTAGCAGTATTAAATACATAAAGCAGGTTTAAAATAATTAAACAAAATCACATTAAAAGTTTGAATGTGTCTGATCTTCTGGTTGTTTGATTCAGTAATCCAAATATCAGCTATCTTGAGGCCAGAAATGATTTGCTTCAAAAGTATTACCAGTTTGTAAATCCCTTTGAATAAATGTATTCACTTAATAATAATTTTTTAACAATTCTTAGCCCCTTATGGCCTTTTAAAAATGATTAACCAATCTCCACAAAGCAGGATAAAATATCCTAGCTTATAATCAAATTCCAAGTCTTTATGGATCTGCTTGTGAAACAATCCCAGTCTCTGTCAGATTTGAAATTCAAATTGGTGATATAACAAAGTTTCCCCCTATCCTTTTCTCTCTTTCTCCTTATCATAGTGGGAACAAGTCTTTATCTATCAAATGAGTTCTGTGAGTCGTCACTGGAATGAAACAAATCATTATCTTGGTGAGTCTGGGAGAGAAGAGTCTTTTTAATCTGTTCTCATCGGATAACCAAAAGAAGTTCCAGAAGCTCTGTCAGTATCGGTTGTTTTTTATCTGACAGACACGTTTATTTCCAGACACTTAGATTAATGTGCAGTGCCACAGTCAGACACGTCCATATTGATAACGAGAAACAAGTCTGTGCAGCTTAGTTTCAAGAGATAAAACAACAACACTGGAATTAATCAATAAAATGTTTGGATACAAAACAGCTTTAGAGGAATATGCTGTTGGATATAAGATCCCTTATGTCTGATAGATTCCTCAGCTTATTTAAAATTACAGTTTAACAAGGTTTGTCATAATGTGGTATTAGTCATGTCCAGTAATACAGCCTTTTAATGTTTACCTTTCCATCTGTCAGTTGAGCTCTCTAAGATTAATGTTTCTCAGTGCATCTATTTTGTATGTCTTTTTCAAGGACAACTGGATATGCATAAACATCCTTTCAAGAAAGCTCACATGAATGGGATCTTACTGCCCTCTAGAGGTGAGGCGTGATACTACAGCTTGTGGTCTTTCTGACCTTCATAGCCAACATTTTGAGGACTGTGACACCTTTAGTGGGTATTTTCTTCAATTTTACTCTTTTTTTTTAGAATGTCAGATTGGAAACTATTGGGAGATGATCATTCAGATCTTATAATAATTAATCAAGGTGGTAGTATACCCCTGACGTAGCAGTATCCCTGCAATCAAGCTGTTGTTTTTTTAGAGCACTTTACAGATGGCTCATGGTTGGGCTGGAGATAACCAGACATTGTTTCTTATAACTCGGTCATTGTGAAGATCCATGGGAGTGATTGGAAACAGAATTAGCTGAGTTTGACTGTATTTCTGATGGGCAGCTGCAAGAATAAGCAATAAAAAATATATATATATATTTATATATATATTTATATATATATATATATATATATATATATATATATATATATATATATATATATATATATATATATATATATATATATATATATATATATATATATATATATATATATATATATATATATACACTCACCGGTCACTTTATTAGGTACACCTGTCCAACTGCTCG